AGCCAGAATAATCACCCAGGACCTGGCATGCAGTATTTGCTCAATTATTTATCAAATGAATCCATAATGAATAAGTCTGCATTGGGTTTTAGGGTTTGAAAAACATTGCTAGTTATTATGGTATCATCCTCATAATAATCTATAGGGCTGGGAGCAAGACATATATTCATTCCATTTTAGACATGAGAGGGTGAGGTTCGGAAGAAATGTAGCAAGAGGGGTGTGGCTTCTGGAATTGGAGATGCCTAGTTTTGTATCCTAACTCTCACACTGACTTCAGCTTTTCATGGCCTTAAATCCAAAGGAAGGTTGACTTAGTTCCTTTGTGCTACTGTAACAAACTGTACACATTAAATACTTTATAAAGAATAGAAATTTATTTCTTACAGTTCTGGGGAGTTCACAGTCAAGGCACCATCAGGTTCGGTGACTGGTGAGCCCTTTTATAAGAATACAACTCGCATTCACGAGGTCTCCACCCTCACAACTTCATCAACAGGCTCTACCTGTTATTAGTGTTGCATTGGTGATTTAAGTTTCTGTTTGAATTTTGGGTGCATCATAAGCTTTCCCATCACGGCAGTGGTGGCCTTTTAGAAAGGGAAGGATACAAAGGTACACTAGGAAAGAAGGCCTTGTGACAATGGAGGCAGATATTGGTGTCATGAAAACATAAGCCATGGAAAGGAGAGCAAGTGTGGTCAAAAGGCATCAGGAGCTCTGCAGATGTGGCAAAGGGCTCTCCCCTTGATCCAGCAGAAGGACCATGGCTTGGTCAGCACTGTGGCTCTGGATGGTGTCCCCCTCCAGAACTGTGACAGGGCTTCTGCTATTTTAAGTCACTCACTTCCTGGTACTCACTATAGCAGCTCTAGGAAATGAATACACTGTGTTTCCCCTTTTATTCCAACGTGGTCTGAGGCTATTGTGGACCCCAAAGCATAAGCCAGGAGTCAGAGGCTGCAAGTGATGTAAGGAAAGCACAGGCTCAGCTCTTCCTCTTCATCCTCCCTAAGGCAGGCAGAAACTAGACATGGTTTCTACTAGATTTCCCATAAGGAGAGCTCTGTCCTACCCAGGACACAGAGAAGTTGTTGAGATTCTAACTGTGGCATGGAAAAAGCATAGGGCTAGAAGTCAGGCAGATCCGTGCGCACAGCCTGGCCTTGCCTCCACTAAGACCTGGCAGCCATGGACTGTCCCACAGGAAGAAAATTGTGAAGCTCATAGTGCTGTTATGAAAATCAAAAGAAATAATCCAAGAAAAGAGCCTGGCATCTAGTGGGTGCTCAGGAAATCATAAGCGATGAAGATGATGGTGATGACAGAGACTCACAGCAAGGCCTGGACTCTCACCCAGGTCTCCTATGCCCCTATATCCATCAGTCCAACCAATCTCTGCCCTCATGCTGCCCCACTGATCATTACACCCACCCCCTACTACTGGGATAATTCTAAGATCCAGCAGACCCCAAACCCTGGACTCAGGCTGAGATGGTAGATTGAGTCCCCAAGTTGTGAAAATGCCGTAAACTCCTTTCTGCTCTTCCTACTTGGATTCTTCATTTCCCTCCAGCACACGGTCAATTATCCTGGCTTAATAACAGCCCTTAGGTCAAGTCTTTGTGTTTTATGTAGTGCTCCTAACACATAAATGAAGCTTTTCTCTTTAAAGGCTAAGAGTTTCCTTATTTGTATATACTGAGCCGTCACTGGGTTCTCCAAGAAGGTGATTTTTTTTTTTTTTGCTTGTTTTTCTCCTTTGTGTTTCTCTCTGTTCTCAGTCTCTCTTCTCTCTATGTCTGTGTGTTCTTTTCCACCTGGTATCTTTCTCTCCACTTTCATTTTTTTGTCTTTCTGTCTCTGAATCCTTTTCCTCTCCCCTTTCTTGCTTTCCCTTTCCTCTTTACACTTATACATTTGTTCTGTATACCTGGCTGTTTCCTACTCTTATACTTTCTCCTTGTTTCTTTTTCCTACTCTGGGTCATTTGGTCATTTTTTTCATATAGTTCCTCTTCCTCTATTTCCCTGTCTTTTAGTCTCTATGAAATTCCTCTCTGGGTGCCTCTGCCTTTCGTTCTGCTTTTCTACCTGCTAGTCTATTTATTTTTCTCAATCTGTTCATCTTCTTCTGAAACTTTTGTGTTTCTGGCTCTGTTTCTCTTCTTTCTTCCTAGCAGTTTCTCCATGTATTTATCTCATTTCTTTTCTCTCTCTCTCTCTCTCTCCCTCTGTCTTTATCTCCTCCTCTCATGTGCCATTTCTTATCTCTCTAAGGGTATTAATATTTTAATAGCCTTAATATCTTCCCAGGATCCTCAACTCTTTCCATGATTCAAAAGCGGCATATCTCCTCAAAGCTCCATTCTAGGAACAGTTAATTCTCTCTCCCCATACACCTGTCACCTCATGTCACCTCGAGCTGTACAAAGTTATTAAGTGACAAGTAATCTGCCAGCCCTCTCTGCACACTGTCCTTTGTCTCCATCCTAACAGCCTCTGCTATGAAGGATTTGGAACGGGAACTCAGAGTGGCTGAGGAAGGGAGTCCACCACTTGGCCAGGCTCTTGGTAAAAGGACTGCTCTGTGGGAACTGCATCTGTATTTTGTTGTTTTCTTTGCTTCATTTGAAAACATTTACCTAGCACATGTTCATCCACACCCTGTGCTGGGGACTAAAGAGGGTGGGAAAATCTTGAGCCCTTCCCTTGGAAAGTTCACAATCTCTGGGAGACCATGGGACTGGTAATTAAGTTCAATAAGATAATAGATCTTTTAAAATGTGCTCAAAAGGAGAGAAATTAATCCTAGTGAGAGGAAGTAGAGAAGGCTTCACAAAGCAGATGTCAGTCAGCTCTGTGTTGACTCCTGCCCAATGTCACTTCTGTATCCCCTCTACATAGAATAGTGGCTAGTGCACAGTAGACACTTGACAAACATGTGCAATATATGAATGAGTAGGAAAAATTTTCAGGGGTAACCAGGGTTTTGTCTGGAAGAGAATTCAGAGATAAACATGCCAGACAAAAGGCAGAACATGATTAAAGATCCTGTGAGCTAAAGGTATAGGTTGTATAACTTTAGATTTTAGGGTTAAAGATGCTCAACAGGTAAAGTCAATGCAAATATTCCAAAATCTAAAGCACCCCTGAGTCTGAAACACTTCTGGTCCCAAGCACATTGGATAGGGGATTCTCAAGCTGTACATACTGATCCAGATACCAACTTCAGGGCTGACCCACCCCTCCCCAAGCTATGGGCTGATAGCTCGCAGCTTTGTCTCCTACTGGATGTTGCCTTCTGTCACAGGGACCTGCCTCACCCAAGGCACCTGCTTGTAGACAGCAGCCTTCAGCCAATGATAGACTTATATGGGAATGCAAAGATCTGGATCATTTACCTTAATTTTAGACATCCATAAAGCACTACCCCAGCTCCATAGATTCCCACAGAATCAGCTGAGGCTTCAAATTCACCTTGCAAGTCTTCCTGATCATTCCCTGGTCACTTTGTACAGATGTAGCTACCAGGAGGGCTCTTCTGTCAATTTCCTATACACAACTGCATTGCAGAGACTGTTTTCATGGCACTAGACCTGAGATTCTGTGTTCCAGTAATGGAAAGAGGCATGTGGCCAGTGAGTAGAAAGTATGAGAACAAGATAACTGTAGCTGGATGGGTAGCCAGGGACCAGATTTTGAAGAGCCTCGAAGGCCAAGGAAACTAATTTAGATCCTTCTGTAAGTACTGAAAAGCTGTTGATCAAAGGACTATCTCCTTATATCTTGGATTTACCAGGTTCACTGGTAGCCAGTATGAAAACTGGAAAAGAAGGAGATAAGATTGGAGGCAGGAAATGAGTTAGAAGATTCACATCTGAAGCTCCAAGTTCAAGTAGGTAAAGAATAGAAAAAATATAAAGTATGCCCCAAAGACATTATTGGTAATGCTTTCCAGTTCTTCCAGCTACCTGTCCATATACAATCATCTTCCTTCTTTCACAGCTCTGGGCTTCCTGAGTTGCACATTATGGAAGAAGATAGTGCCTCTTTCCACTGCCTGTGTTGCCCCTGGAATACCCTGCAGTTTCAGTAATCATGCATACCTCCATTGAAGGACATCCCAAATTTGGGGGCCTTTCTCCAGAAAACAGCATAAGAAACTTTCACCTTATCCCCCATGTTAGAATAATCATCTTATAGAATTCTTGGAGAACTTTGGCAGATCTATGGATTATGGTATCTAGACCACTCTTACCTTTTGAGAACCTCGCTTGGGAATACTCATGTGTTTCCCTGGAACCTCGTGACCTTCCCAACAGCCATCACTGCCAACCTTGATAGTATGACTTATATACAATCATCTGAAAAATAATCTTCAATGATCCTAAGACCAGAGTCCTGTGTTTGTGTCTTGGCTCTGCTGTTTATAGGCTGTGGGATTTAAGGTGAGTCCCATAACCTTTCGTAGCTTTAATTTTATAAATTGAATAGTAGGTTGAAGCAGGGAGGCTGAAGTAATAAGGCTGCATGGAGTCCTAGAGTTGCTATAGGGAGCTCTAGAAGGTTTCAAAACTGACTTGATCAAGTTTAGAGCTTTGTAGTAGAATGATTTTTTTCTTTGAACTTGGAACTTGGTACAAACTTCATTTCTGTCACATTACAAGCTGGCTGGCCTTCAGCAAGACACCTCGCCTCTTTAAGCCACAGTTTAAAGCCACCTGTTGGCAAAATGGAAATCTCATCCCTACCTTTCAAAATTATGAGGATTAGTGAAATGAAGGCCAGAGTTCTAAGTCCATTTCTCTATATCACAACAGGACTTAAACATCATGCTATTGAATGGTACACCTGTTGATTTTTTAAAGTATTTATGTTGTTTTCTTGGTTACACATAAAATAAATGATGATTTCAAATATAATAAATCAATTCACATTAATTTTTTAATTCAGCAATGCAGATGTTTCTGGGATTTAATCATCCCCTTTCTCTCCAAGGGAAGAAGCAATGCTGTCCACGTACTTTGAAACCATCAATGACCTGCTGTCCTCCTTTGGGCCGGTGCGTGACTGTTCTCGGAACAACGGGGGCTGCACTCGCAACTTCAAGTGTGTGTCTGATCGCCAGGTGGACTCCTCAGGATGTGTGGTGAGTGTCCATCTAGATGGCCAGGCCACCTGCTCCAGCCTCACCTGTAAGGGGCAGCAGGCCAAGGAGCATCACGCTACGTGTAGCTCCTGCCACTGGAGCTTTTGGCTTTCATCACATCACCTGTAAAATGGCAACATTAAACCTACCTCTTGGAATTGTTGGGAGGAGAGGAGATGTCTAACTTAAGTGCCTATCATACAATAGGTCCTGGAGAGGCCCTGGCTTCTGGAAGCTTACAATCCCTTCGAGGGTACAATAGAGCATGCCTCATCTCTGTGGACCCACTAGGGATCAATGAGATGCAAACCTTCTAGAGCATAGGTGCCTTGGTGTGGTCCAGAAGAGAAAGTTTCAACTGAGACCTTCAGTTTGGAACAGGCTTCTTTTTTTTTTTTTTTTCACAAACTGAAGGTTTTATTTAAGGTGCAACACAGGGATTCAAAGGGTGGAGCTGAGTGGAACAGGCTTCTTTAAGAAGTTGATACTGGAAATGGTTTCAAAAGATGTCTCATTGAGGTCTGATCAAAAAAGACAGTGAATATTTAAATTTTTAAAAATTATTATAGTAAAAGACATATTGCCTCAAAATATCCCTTCTTGCTTTGAACACACTTATACCACCTGAAGCAGTTCTGGAAGCCCTGTTTCATGAGTGTCTTTAGTTTGCTGTCCTGGGTGCCTCATTGCCCTGAACCAATTCAAAATGTTTACCTTTCATGGTCATTTTGACTCTGGGGAAAAACTAGAAGTGACATGGTGCCAGATCCAGTAAAGGAGGTGGATGAGGACACAATGTAACTTTTTCTTTATTTTTGGTACCGGGGATCAAACTCGGGTCCTTGCACTTGTGCAGCAGGCAGTGAAACCACTGAGCTAAATCCCCAGCCCACAATGTCACATTTTTATGAGCTCGCCTTTCCACTGGATGGCACTCAGCAGCAGCCTTCACTATACTTTTGATGATGCCCCCTGAAGACACAAAAGAGGACTTCCAGAACACCTTCAGAAAGTGGCAGGAACAGTAGGATATGTGCATTTGAAGCAAGGGGGAGAATATAGAGGGGGATTAATGCCAATGCTTCTTTTAGGGCAATAATTTTTCAATTTAAATATTCACTGTATATTTTGATCACTCCTTGTACATTAGAAAAACAGTGCTGATGCCCAAGACAGAAGTGTGGGAGTGAGGGGAGGCAGCCATGTGTACATGGAATTTCAGGATCTAGTGTGAAATAACAACAAAAAGAACAACAGAAGGATTAGTGAAGATCCCTACTGCTTACAGAAAGGTGTCCAAGTATTGATTTTTTTCATAAGAATGGTCTTGGGTAGTTGTTCAAAATGCAAGTTCCAAGGTTCCACTCTAGAAGAGATTGGGTCCCAAGAACTTGAATTTTTAACAAGTGAAAGAGAGTGTGTGCATATGTCCATGTGTTGGGGTGTGTTGGAAATACACTCGGGAAATATTTCCCCATAGGCTAAACTCAGCCTGGCATTCAGTGCCCTTCTTCTTTTGCCCCTTGTCCAGACCATCCTGCCAAAGCTCTCACCACTTTACTTCGTGCTACACCAGAGCCAAGGGGCACTAATTAGATGTTGCTGTTTGAACATGCTGCCTGTTTAATGCCTCCTGGCCTTTGCTCATGTGGTTCTTTCTCCAAAGAGGGAATTGCTGTCCCCAGGCCATGGAGCAAACAAGTGGACATGTTTCAGGTGTCTCCTCCTTTATAAAGCCTTTTCTCTACGCCGTGGAGAAGTGGTGGTGCTCTTTGAGGGATCATTGCTATTTTCTGTGCCCATAGTTATGGTATCGCTGGTGATAGTTCAAGCTTAGATGGGCTCTAGAATTTATCTTGCCCAGAAAACCAAGGGAGAAACCAGAGAATCTGGTGATTCTGCTCAGCAACCCAATTGTATCCAGCTTGATAAATAAAGAAGAAATAAAGGTGGGCATGGAAGAAGGGATGGGAATTCCTGCTCTAGACTAAGCTTTCAGAATGAGACTCAAGAAAAGTAGAATATACAAGTGGCCCATAACACACCTACATAGCAGCTGGGAAAATGGTCTTTACCAGAAAAACGGGATAAAGAATCATCTAAAATAAAATAACACAATGAAAATCTATTTGAGATTCAAAGATGGATGGACAGCTGGAGTTTTTATTACCATATGTTTGCAATACATAATAAATACATTCATTTTGGGAAATTGGTATGTGAATATATTATATCTTGACCCTTTTTATTTCTCCTGTCTCCTCCACATCCTCAGATCCCCTTCCCATCTCCCTGTTTCCTATCATCTATCTTTTATTTTGCTCTTTAAGTCACTTATACTTTGGGTTTTAATATAAGAGTAACTACAATATTTAACCTTCTCTGTCTGATTTATTTCACTTAGCATTATAGTCTCAAGGTGCATCCATTTTCCTACAAATGACTCAAATTTATCCTTCTTTATGGCTGAGTAATACTCTATTATGGGCATATACCACATTTTCCTTATTTATTCATCTGTTGATGCATATATAGACTGCTTCCAAGATTTAGCTATTATGGATTGTGCTGGTATATACACAGGTATGCATATCTTTAAGTCTTTTGGAAAGATACCCTCAAGAAGTATAGCTAGGTCATATGGAATTTCTATATTTAGTTTTTTGAGGAATCTCCATACTGATTTCCATTCTGTGTTGTTTGTGGGGATGTAAACTAGAACAATTGGAAATTTTATTAATTATAATTCTTAGGGTTACAAATGACAGAAATTCAACACAAAGTAGTCAGAGCCAAAGGGGAAATATATTGGCTCCAGTGGAGGGTAGGTAGAGTTGTGTTGAGGGGGCTTATGGCTTGTATCTGAATGTCCCCCCAAAGCCTCATGCTGTCATAGGTGGAGATTTTTGAGGGTGGCTGGCTCTAGGTGCTTGGTGATGGGTTTAAGTATGTGATGCTGGGAATAAGAGTATGATACCAGGACTGACAGTGCCCCACCCTAGGTGTGGGTAGCACCGCCCAAAGAGCTGGCTTGGATGCTCCTGCTGCCATTACTTGCTGCTAGCTGCCTTCTGCCTGCCACGCCATAAACTGTTTCTCCTCTATGATGCCTTCTGCCATGCTGCCCAGCTTTGGAGCCAGCTGACTATGGACTGAAACCTATATAAGTGGTTTCTTCTTTAACTTTGGGTGTCACATATTTTGTCTCAGCAATGAGAAAAATAACTAAGTCAAGGAGTTCAAACACCATCATTGGTCTCCCTCTTCACTTTTCAGCTCCGGTTTCCTTAGCATTATGCCATTCTCCGGCCAGCTATACCTTCTCCATGCAGTGTTCTGCACCTCCAAGTATAGCACCAAACTCATCTTACCAGGCCAACTTGATTCTCTTGCCTATTCCTGCACCAATTCCTGTAGTCAAGGGCATAGGATAGGCTTATTTACAAATGAGTCACCCTCAGAGCTTCAGCCAGGAAGCAGCTGCACCTGCTGTGGATAGCTAAGAGGTAGGGGAGATGGAATCTCAAGGAAATGTGAACGCCAGCAGCAGGAAGGAAGCTGTGGATGCCAGGTTGTTATACTTCAGCAGCTGACTACTTCAGAATTTTGCAACGTAATCCTTCAGTTTGCATATTGGAAAAGTGAGGCGGTGTGGGGTGGGGGGAAGAGAGAGAAGAAAGAGAAGGAGGAGGAGGAGGAGGAGGAGGATTTGTGCAAACCTTGGAGTCAGTCAATGGATAAACAAGTCAAAAGGATGTTCCATGTCCATGTTGACTCCAAAGCATGACTCTGACTTTCTGAAAGAATTATGTTATCTGCCTCTTTCCTCTTTGGCATCAGTTCTCATTCCAGAAATAATTATGCACCCTCTCCTTTAGGATGGATGTCCCCAAAGAATGAAACCTCTGAATGCAGAATTGTGTGTGTGTGTTTGGGGGTGGGTGTCTAGGCAGGAGTTGTCTCTCTTTTTCTCTCATTAATATGAAGTAGAAAGATAAAAAGACAGAAAGAAAGAACATTCATTCCCTGGAGGTTAAGAGAAAATTCAGCAGTCTGATGAGGTTGTCAGAGACCTTCCTTTCTTGATTAAGGATTTACTGTTAAAACCTCAACTCCAGAATTCAATGGATGCAAGTCAAACTGCTCTGTAGTATAGACAGGCCAATACCTTCCCTTTTACACTGAGATTTAAAATATCTTTTATTTCTCTATACATTTTATTATGCCTACAAAGTGAAACTCTTTCTCCAAGTCTCCCTTCCAAGAAAGTCCATCTGGCATAAAAATAAACATATTTTTTAAACACTTTATAAGTTCTCAAAGCATGTCTACAGTCAGTAATTCACACTCATAACATATCTGGACTACAGGTTCCCTTGTGGATGAAGCAATGAGACTCGGGAAGTAGTGTGACCTTCTGAGGTCTTGACCACCAGGTACCAGAGAGAGGACCAAGACCCTGTCCCCAGCATCATTCTTAGAGCCAGGGCCACTGTGGGTTCTTTCTCCCTGGAGCTGAGAAGAGATAGAAATAAAGAATCATGGATAGAAGGTTGGTCTAAGTGCATTGTTCTTAACCTCTGGTTTGGTCATTGGTGAGCTATGGAATCTACCTTTACCCTCTTAGTCTTATTTTCCTAATACTTTGAAAGGGAACAACAATTCTTGAACTTGTAAATTTTTGCAGAGTAAAAAAAGTACAACTTGCAATGATACTGGATTTACTAAGTGCTACTTCTGTATAAGACCACATCACTGATATTTATATGCAGTATATATTTAGAAGCATAGCCTACCTTTCTAAAATGCTTATATAGCTGAATATCATTTTCAGTTCTTCCCTATTCAGTAACAGTGGACACTTAATTCTAGTCAATTTTAGGTTTTTTACCTTTTACCTTTTCCTAAACATTTTAGTCCAAGGGACTGATGAGTCAGTAAAGCATAGCAGGCCAAGGGATAGTTGATGCTTGCCTTCACTTCTCAGTCTTTTTCCTGCT